CCCTCTAGCCTGGGTGACAAGAGGGAAACTCTATCTAAAAAAGAAAGACAAGAAATAAGAACTCAAGGAACCTATACAAGTGCTGATACTCTGGCAACTGCTATGGCCATGAGTAGTAAAATTACTTGTTTCTGAATCAAAAGTCTTGTGTCTTCTGGCATGAGCATCCTGAAACTGTGGCAGGCTAACCTGGTAGATTGCAAGCAGGGTAAAAACCTTTCACAGTCATTGACAGGTTCTACCTCTACTTCTAACAATCTCCGTTGTTAATATCCTACTGTAGGATGATTCTGACCCCAGTACCCACCTCAACTTCCTAACCAGTCTCCCCATTTATGCCTTTGCCTTTTTGTCATGTAGTAATAGAGTCTTTATAGCAGCTTGTTTTTCCCCCCCATAAAATTTGAGATCATAAACTCCCCTGCTTTAAAATCTTTCAGTGATTTTCCTTCCCACATAGAATAAAATCTAAACTCTTTGCTATGGCTTATAAATTCCTACATGATTTAACTTTCCTGCCTATTTCTCACATCAAACCACTCTTCCATTTAGTCATTAAACTGTAGTCATATGGTTTTCTTTTCTAAGATACTTTTGTTTAAGAGTGTTTGAACTTGCTGTTTCTTCTGCATAGCACATAGAATTCCAATGTCTGGCTCCTTCCCTTCTGTGAAATATTTTCTTCAGTGGAATGAAGTAGGTACTAGCAAAGTAAGGATGACAAACTTTTTTTAAAGAATTTGAGATATAATATATATTTTTGAATTTTCAAAATAGTGAACATGGGAGAATAGGAATTTCTTTGTATGTATTTTAACCTTGTCAAAATTCTAGAGTCAATTCTCAAGTATCTGCCTACTGTAGGTAAATCGTTTCATCTACTCCAACCCCCAAAAGAACCTAGAGTCTTGATGCTCCAAGTATCGCCCTTAGTCTAGTAGCATCTCTGTTTCCTGGGAGCTTGCTGATATCTAGATTCTTGGTCCCCATCCTTTCTTACTGAATCAGAATCTTTAGTTCAACAAGATCCTCTGGTGATTTGCACATTAAAATTTGAGATAAACTGCAGTAACCTGCTTTTCAAGGCATTTAAAAAATTCCATTACAGCATTCACTACTGAATGAGTCTGCATTTTCATTCATTCATTATTTACCCTCCATCTCCATCTTCCACTCATTTCCCACTGGGCTGTAAGTTACAAAAGAGAAGATAAGTCCTCAAATATTTTTTGGAAGACATGAACAAAACACTCAGTAATTACTATAAATGAATTCCTTGATGGATAACTTTCCACTCAAACATGGCCCCATTTTTATTTACACAATTTAAGCTATGTATGGGATGCCAATGACTCAGTGTTTGATTCTTAAATCACCTGAGAAGGGTTAGTTGTCATATAGCAGGAGATGACTTGGATAATTTCTTAAAGATCCTTTGAAGTTTTTATTCTTACTGAATTTCTTGTTTGCTCTGTATTGAATTCCTATAATAGCTTCAATTAGTCCTCCTTGATCTAGACTCTACTCTTTCAAATCCAACCTTCAGATTAAGGATATGTCTGTGGTACACTATGAAGGGCATGGATTTGAATCAGAAAAACTACTATTTCTTAACTGTGTCACCTGGGAAGTTAATTATCCTGTTTGCTCCTCTGTCTGATGGATAATAAAATTTGCTTCCAAATTTCATCAATAAAAGGATAAGGTAAAGTGAGCTCATGTATTTAAAGCATCTAGCAGAGCAAGTTGATCAGGAAGCTTTCTTTCCTTCTTCCCTTTCACGTCACATTTTTGCCCAAGCAAATAATCGAAACAAAACAAACTCAAGACCTCAAAGCCCTTAAACATCTAAATGAACCACCCCACCTCCCTCACCTGACCCATTTTCCACCTAGGTAAGACTGATAACGGCTTCCTTCTGGTTGTTTCATTCCTGTCTTGTCTGCGGAATATTTCTTTTATTCTCTAGCTACCTTAGTTGCATTTGCCCACCAAGGTTACTGGGTAAAATTTCCATCTTCAAGAAGTAATCCTGGAAAGATCACGTTCTTACTCATAACTCTTCCATAACTCTTATGCAGCCCACAGATATTTAGAGTTTATTTCTTCAATTAATTATAAACTATTCTGTGTTTATAATTCTTGAATTCTTTCTTGTTTAATATCTTTCTTCCAGCTGAGATATAAACTTTGTGAAGACTGGAATCATGCTTTATGTTTATTTATAACTCACAATGGGTGGCGAAGTACTGAGTTGTAAACCTTGTTGACTGTTTGATGCTCAAAATTTTTTCAGCTGCTCTAAAATTATTGCTGCTGATTCTGTCTGAACCACATGATTTTCCTCTGGGAAATTTTAAATCTCAGTCTTGTTCTGGAATTTCTAGAGCAAGGGTCTCAAGTTCAAATGCTTATAGGGTCTATGAAAGTTCATAAGTGAGAGGGGCCAGGTGTGAGAATTCAGAGATCAGTGGGAGACAGGGGCAACAGAAGCAAGAGTGCTGCCTTCGGGGTGAGCACCACTCAGACCTAGCTAATTGCTGAATGTAGGAATTTGGGCTCACATTTTTACTTTGTTAAGAGAAATAAGGAATCTGGATATTTATGTCAAGTTTCTCAAATTTCTAACTTTGACAAATATTTCAAAACAGTACAGGCCCAACTAGACATATTGGTGTGACAAGAAGAACATGTGATTCATTAGGGCAGTGGGTTTCAATCCTGGCTGCAAATCAGAGTTACCTAGTAAGCTTTGAAAAATCCTTATGTCCAAGCCACAGGCCAGGCCAATTAAACGAGAATCTCTGGGGCTGTGTCCTAGGTATCAATAATTTTTTTAATGCTACCCAGTTGATTCAATATGCAACTAAATTTGAAAACCACTACCTTGGAGGCTTCAGTCTACCTTTCTCATTTCTTTTGTAAACTTAGGATTGGCATTATTTATGAGGCCTCAGATGATCTTAGTGTCACTGGATACCTTAATTATCAAGGACCTTAAAATCTCTGTTCCGCAACCTCTATGTCATTGGCCTAATGACATCTATGTGGTGAAAGCTCTGGTGTCTTCAGCTAACTCCATTCAATCAGTTGTTGCACTCTATTGCTATCATGTAAAGAAAAAAGTCATATTTTTTCTGTGTCTTAGAAGTAAATGCTAATTCACTGAATGAAATTAAATGTTTATAATGTTATTTATATTAATTCTCAATAGTATTTTCTGCTGTCATCTTTTAAAACCAGCTCTTTTGAGAATGAATAGTTTCAAATCATATGTCCAGCACAAAATAATTAGCATTGTAACTATTTTTGCAGTCTCAATACTAAAAATCATGTCTGCTAAAAGTGGCTTCCTAAAAGCTTAAAAACAAATATCTGAGGATCTATGGGACTAGACATATCCATAAAGACAAAAGAGAGAGATGGGGCATTACAATACATTAACTATAGTTCTCCATATTAATCTTCAAATTCTAACATTCCAGCTCCCCTGTGGTTCATATACTCTGCTGTTTGACTTTGCCAATTCAGCTCTCATGTTTCCTCTTCTTAAAGATTTTCCAAAATTTTTGTAGGTAGTCTTGCCCCATGACATTGAACTTACGTTCTTCATCTTTATTGTTCTTCTCTTATGTAGCCCATAGATTTCAGTCACATGGTTAGGAATAAAGTGACTAGACACAATATTCTGCACCAGCATCTTGATCCCATGCTTTAAAGGATTTGTCTGTCTTTTTTTAACGAAGCATTTATCTATTTTAATTGACAAATAACAATTGTGTACATTTATATATAACCTAATGTTTTAAAATATGTATATATTGTGGAATGGCTAAATAGAGCTAATTAACATTTGCATTACCTCATGTACTTACCATTTTTTTTATGGTAAGAGCTCTTAAAATCTACTCTCAGTGATTTTCAAGAATATAATGTAGTCACCATGTTATACAACAGACCTCTTGAATTATTCTTCCTATCTAACTGAAATTTTGTATCCACCCTGTCTTCTTTTTGGGCTGCAATTTTCTAGATTTTGGCAATGTAGGAATTGCTGGTAAACAGTAGATCTAAGGATTTTTACAGCCTATGAAGGCATTTCATTCGGTTTGTGAAATCACTGCATAGCAAGGAAACCATTGTGCTTCTGGAAAACTTTATGACAATTTAAGAAATATAGAGAATAATAAATGAATGCTTGAAGACAGAAGCATTCCTATACTCATTGTAAGATACTCAAATCAGAATTATAAATGGAAACACAACTGATGTAGCATTTTAACAATTTGAACAATTATGATGGAATGATGAAGTTTCTTTCAAAAAAGATGTGATAATTATGAGAGATCCCAGAAATTTAAACTGTATATTACTAAGACTCAATTAGTATTAGTTAGGGTACCTGGATATGTGCAGTAAAAATTTTAACTAGTTAAAGAAAATATATGTGTATATATAACAAAGGCTATAGAAAAGACATAGCAAATTAACATTGTATTTTAATTTGTTTTAGAGAAGTAATGAAGCAGGAGTGAAATTTTCTATATTTAGACTTCTCCTAGCTTAATGTTCCAAGGGTATTTTAATTTACAGATTGATTTATAATAGCCAAGTCTTCCTATATCTAATTTGAAGTATTCTCAAATAGATTCGCAGTTAGATTCTTAGTAGTTTAAGTCTTATTCTATTATCCGTCACTTTTTAAGTTTAACTTTATGTGTGTATATTACATTTTATCTCCCACTAGATTATAAATTCCTTGAATGACCATTATCATTTTTATTTCTCTTCCCCTCTGTGCCTAGCACAGTGTTCTGCATGTGGTAGGTGCTAATTAAATGCTCTCTCTATAATTAATTTTAACTTAGAATATACAGGTTCATAATGGCTTGAAATTACCCAGCTTATTGTTGAGATGAAATAAAAGGAGTCTATTTTAAGTACCATACAAGAAACACTGGCAGAAGAAATAACAAGAGAGATAAGAAACAAAGACTTACTCTGTAGTCACTTGATGTCACATAAAATATAGGAAGGAAGGCCAACCAGATGATGCACGTGGTGTACATGGTAAAACCTATGAACTTAGCTTCGTTGAAATTTTCTGGGCACTTCCGCGTTTTGAAGGCATACACAGTGCATAAGATCACCAGGATCACATCGTAGGTAAGAGAGATCAACATGCTGGAATCTTTGACATTGCATTTTAGGATGACCGTTTCCCGCTTCTCTGCAAGGGTATACCTCCTGGTGCCTGGGGGCTCCAGGATGAGCCACACAGACACCATCACAATTTGCACCAGTATCAGACCCAGACAGATGAAAACCTGAGAACTGGGGCTGATAAATTTTGGCCTCTGAGCGCCATTCTTGACCCCATCGAAGATGCGGGCAATGCAGTTTGTCTTGGTCAGCAGGGCTGAGTAACAGATAGCGAAGGAACTCCCCAGCCCAAGTCGGCGCAATGCACAGATGACTGGTGATGGCTTGGCAATGAAGAAGAATGTCATGCAGTATGACAGGCCAACCCCAAACAATAAGATGTAGCAGAGTTCTCGGCCTGATGCCTTGACCAAGGGTGTGTTGTTGTGCTTGATAAAAACAGTTACAACCATGCAAGTACACATAAAACCCAGACAGGCAATGGTGACTGGGCCGATGGCCCAGGCGTCTTCCCACCTGATGTAGTCCTCAGGAAGGTCATAGCATCCAGTTAGGTCTGCAGTGGGCCACTGCCCAGGCCCACAATCCATACAGGTAAACTCATCAGCCAGGTATTCGTAGGGCTCACAGGGGATGCAAATCCAGCAGCAGACATCCCCTGGTTGCATGTTCTTCATTTCATTGGGGGCACAGGGGTCGCTGCACTGGGAAGTGGGGACTGAGTTCCGGGACCAGTGGATAGAGTCGACATCTAGCGATAAGGTTTCCGCCCAGTGACCAACTTTCAAGTAGGAATACTTTCCACCTACATACTGGAAATTGAACACGTTGTATCGCCCCATTCCATCTCCAAAAGTGTCAAACTTGACTATGCTATCTGCATCTTTATTTGGGTTGAATGGAGCTGTGATATATAAAGCGAAAGAAAAAGAAAGAACACTTGTTTAGGTGTCTTATGTGTGATTATTCAATTACTTTATGTCATACACTAAAATAACAGGAAATGGAGATTCCAAGGCTGAAATAATTTACCAGTTACCATTGAAAGTTACACTTCAAAAGCTACTAGAGTGCTCATGCATTCATAAATTAATTCACTTACCATTACTGGGTGTCAAAGGGTGCCAAGTACCAGTGATAATCATGAATACAACCCAATGCTTATTATGCAACAGGGGGACTTACAAACATGTAATCATATGTTATGTGGTGGGCATGTATTCTCTTCTTGAAAGAATTCATGATAAGAATTGGGCAAAACATTGTGTCTCATTCTTATTGTTTATTTATGTACAGCCAATAAAATGTTTCCCTTCTTAAATATTTTCATTAAAATATAAAACAGGAAGAATTTTTCTCTTTCAAAATAAAGAACATTTTTATTATAGATACATGATATTATTCTTTTCAATAGTTCAGATGATTCAGAAAGAAAAAAATTAAAACTACTCATAATTCTTCAAACCTAATAGTTTAATATTTTGGATATTAAATTTAATATTAATATTCTGACTACATATATGCATGTGTCGATACACAGCATGCTCATATTCATACAAATAGACACAATCTGGCTGTATGTAGAATCTAGGTAAATAGATTTTGAAATTTCCTAGGTGAATACAGGGTCAGTAGCACTCAGCCAAATGGGCCGTCCTCAACCCTGTCTCTTTCTTACAGTTCTCTGCAAGTCCCTAAGAGCAGAAGCTCTCTGAGCATACATGCTTCCTCTCTTCCAGCTGCTGCTCATCGTGTATGTCTTGCCAACATACACCAGCCCTCTGATCGCTCATTTCTATGCCACATGCTCTGTTCTATTACTGTGTGCTGCCATTTCACTGCCAGTCTTTACTCTGTCCTCAGAATTAGAACACAAAGGTTGCTGATACCTATGTGATGAACATAAAAACTCTATTAGTCCTGGTAGGCTTGCCTGTGTTGGTAAATAGTCCCCAAGCTGTTTATTTCTCCCTCATTTAGCAGTCTAAGATTTTTTGGTTGGTGGGTGTCTCTCCCTCATAAGGTGATTCAGAAACGCAGGGTCCTTCCATCTTGAAGCTGTGCCACTGTCTAGGCCCTCCTCTTCATCAGCACCCACCCAACAGAAGAAGAAAGAGAGTATGAAGAAGGTATGGCACATATTTCCATTCATACTTCATTGATTAGGAATTACAACCTTAAAAGAGGCTGTAACATGTAATTCAGCTAATATGCTCAGCTACTTTCACACTATGAAAAGAGAGGTTGGGATTTAGATGACACTGCAGTGTTTGACCCTGCAGGTATTAGCTGTCTTCATTGCCTCCCCTATGAGTTTTATTCCACCTTCTCTGAGGCTCATGCTGCTCTAGCTTATAGGGATACACTGTCCAGGACACACTGTTTAGGGAAAACTAGGTCCAGTTATTCTATAGGGCAAAAGAATTCTTCAATGAATCAGTTGGGCTCTTGGTAAAAGAGGACTTTATATTTTACAAAATAGCCTTCTCCTGTCTAAAGGGTACAGGCGACCCTAGAGGAATGAGTTGGGTAGTTTATAATAAAACCTCATACTAGATACAAGTTCTGGTAGAAACATAATATGCCAAATTTATTACTCACTTATTGTTATTTATTTCTTTTTAATGTTCTTGTTATCTCACCCTGCAATTTGACTTTACCAACCTTCACCTCCTTTCTGCCACATTTCACAAACCCATCACATATATCTGTTTGTGTCTGTACTCCAGTTATGAATTGATTTCAATTTCATAATAAGACAGGGTGATGTAGTAGTTGAGTGTATAGTTTTGAGGTTATATGAATTTTGTGTGATTTTTCATTTCTGCCTTTCAATAATTGTGTGTCCTTCAACAAGTTAACGTTTCTGTCTCTGTTTCCTAATTTGCAAATTGGGAATAAGAGTGCTTTTGAATATTTGATGAGATAAACCATATAACATGTTAAGCGCAATGGCTAGTACACAGTAAGCACTTAACATATATGTTAGTGATGATGATGATGATGATAAAAATAATAAAAGAACTTCATGAAAAAGGAGAGCTGCTCACAAGTGAGGCATACTAAGGGACATGGAGGGTAAAGATGAGAGGAGGAAGATATTATTCAATTCCACCTACTGCTTTATTCAAACCTCACTTCTGACCAATCAAGATCCTGCTCCTCCATCCTTTTCCCCACACTTCCATTAGTGGGCATGATTATACTTAGCTACTGTTTTGTAATGTATATTTTTAATTAGTGAAATATTGGGAATTTTAAAAAATTGATTTCTTTTAATAAATTTTTTTTCAATGGCTATATACTATTATACTGTACATAAGCACCAAGCTATTTAAATATTCCTATAGTTTTAACATTTAGGCTGTTTCTAAGGTTTTCCCTTTATAAACCTCATCATCTTGTTATTTACTTAGAGTAAATTCATAGAAGAAAAACTTTTGGTTCAAGGTGTAGGTTCTTTAAAAATTTAGCTACAGAGTGCCAGGTTGCCAAGGAAAGGTGCTTTTTTTTTTTTTTTTTTTTTTTTTTTTTTTTTTTTTTTAACCAATTAACACTCCCATGAACATTGTATAGGAATACCCATTAGCCACAATCTTACTAACCTTGTGTATTTTTATCTTTTTAGTAGTTGACAAACTGACAGGAAAAAATATGATCTTATTTTAATCAATATTTGTTTATTTGACTTTTAGAGAGGCTGGTTATATTTTAATATTTTTAAAAATTATGTGTATTTATTTTGTGAATTTCTGGTTCATGTATGTTTTACTTGCTTTCTTTTGGGGTGTTTACATATTTTCTTAAATTAATATGTAGGCTGGGCACAGTGGCCCACACCTGTTATCCCAGCACTTTCGAAGGATGAGGTGGGTGGATCACTTGAGCTCAGGAGTTCAGGGCCAGCCTGGGCAATGTGATAAAACCCCAAATCTACCTAAAATACAAAAAATTGGTGAGCTTTAGTGGCACATGCCTGTGGTGCCAGCTACTTGGGAGGTTGAGGAGGGAGGATTGCTTAAGCCCAGGAGGCAGAGGTTGCAGTGAGCCAAGATTGTGTCACTATACTCCAACCTGGGTCACAGAGTGAGATTCCATCTCAAAAAAAAAAAAAAAAGTAAGAACTGTATGTGGATCGAACATATTAGCTGCTTGTCATATATATATTTATGTTGGAAAGATACTTCTAACTCTGTGCTCTTTCCCAGATTGCTAAAATCTTAGGTAATTGAGTTTATAAATCTCTTTCTTACAATTTCCAGTTTACCTATCAGCCCAAAAAAACCGTTCCTACTCCAAGATTATTAAAATATTTATCTAAACTTTTTCTTTTACTTTTGTGGTTTTCTTTTTTATATTAAAAATTTATTTCACTTCAAATTTAGTGTAAAGTATGAGTTAGGATTTTAATTCATTTTTTTCTCAAATGGCTAACCATTTAAATACTAAATAATAAAATATAGTATACCTTTTAAAATGTTTATTACCATACAATAATTTAGACTATGTGAGAACTATAAAATACTACATAAGTTAATCGTCTCCACTGATTTATAATATTTGTCATATATTAAATTCCCTGATACTCAAATCTTTGTACTATTTGTTGGTTTTCTTGGTCTCTTTCCACAGTGGTATGGTCTTTTTACAACTATCACAGCATTATTCTAAATTTTAGTATTGGTTAGGACAATAGGAGTTGAAACATTATTACTATATTTTCAGGTATAGTAATCAACATCAGAATTCTTATGTTATGTAAAACTAAATTTGTTTATTCTAGGATTAGAAAAAGTTCATTATTAGCTGGGCATGGTGGTGCATGCCTGTTATCCCAGCTGCTCAGGAAGCTGAGGCAGGAGAATTGCCTGAACCCAGGAGGCGGGGGTTGCGGTGAGCTGAGATCACGCCATTGCACTCCAGCCTGGGTAACAAGAGCGAAACTCCATCTCAAAAAAAAAAAAGAAAAAGTTCATTATGAATTTTAGGAACTCCTTTCATATATTACAAATAAGAAAAATATTGAATATTTTAACTTGTTTTATAGCATACTTGAGAACCATTCTTTCTGTGTTATGAATTTCATGGTTCTCGAGTATGCACCCAGCCTCCACCAATGTTCGGTTGATGTTATTAGATAATTTCTGGAAAACATTTCTAAAAAAAATATTTTATATCTTTAAATATTTCACTGTTCTCATAGCAATTTTTGAATACAAAATTTTTAAAATTAGTATATTTAACAAACAGTAAAACTGATAGAAAGAAATTAAACCAACTAGAGATAAAAAAATTTGGAGAAACTAGAGCAATGCAGGGCATAAAAGTTGAAGTCTTCAAAACATTAATAGGCTCAAGAGAGTTAAGTGAAGATATTGCACCATGAGATACACACACGACATCCTTAAAAATGAATATTCAGAGAACAGTAATGATCTTTTAGAAGTGAAATAGCAGAAATAAAAATTTAATAGAAAGACCGAAACATAAATTTGAGAAAAATCTCAAAGTTTGACCATAATGCCGTGATGGCAAGGAGAATATACAACAGGAAAAGAATTGCTCTGTGGAATTTCAACGTGTGACCGTCAAGAGCTCCAGAAAGAGAAAGCACAGTGTGAACATTATCGAAAGGCAAAGTGAACACCAGTGGAGAGAAGACTTAGCCTGGGGAAGGGGGAAGCAAGAAACTTTTCTGATTTCTTTTAAGTCTGTTGTGTCTGTGTAAAAACTACATATGTGTATTATTCTGATAAAAAAAGGAATTATAAAGTTAAAATAGTATAAAGACAAGCAAGTTTAGGCAGAATAAGTTTAAAGTAAATAAAGATGAAAGTAATGCAGCTGCAAATATTGGAACAAGTGCTTGAAAAGTGGGTGGTGAATAAACAAATGCTACTTTTG